AAAGATAATTAGAAAATGTTATGGTTTTTTAATAAGACTATTTGAAAGTAAGCTTCAAACTTTACTAGAGCCTAGAAACAGGTCCATGAAGATGGGTGAAAGAGTGGGGGAAATACCTGCCCTTATATACATTTTGGTGACTCACCGCATGGTAATCTCAGGAATGGAACAGATCTTTGTCTCCAGCGGAGGAGCTGAGATCCAGACTTGATGGACACGTCTGGACACAGGTGTTTCTGCTCCGCTCCAGCGCTCACCTTAATGGGACAGCCTCCCCTCGTGGTACTGCAGGGCCAGGAAAGAGATAATGCACAGAAAATGCAACTCAATCTTTGGAATAAAGTTGATCCTGCGATTTGGAATCCAAAATGTGATTACTGTTATTCCTATGGTTGGTTTATTGAACCAAGATTCAATCCCAACTCTCTTAAGCCATTGTTCTACATAAGTAACAATAAAGCTTACTTAGCTGATTATCACTAAATATTTTTATACGAATTTTCAAAGTGGATTTATTGTTATTGATGCTGCTGTTGCCATTCTTTTATTATCATAAAAAGCCAATATATGTTTATTTTACAAAATACAAATTTAACAAAAAGAATAAACTATTATCTTTTTAAAAAATATATATTTTATTGATTTTTTTTTTTTTTTATAGAAAGGAAGGGAGAGGGATAGAGAGTTAGAAACATCAATGACATGAAAGAGAAACATCGATCAGCTGCCTCCTGCACACTCTCTACTGGGGATGTGCCCGCAACCAAGTTCATGCCCTTGACCGGGATCAAATCTAGGACCCTTCAGTCTGCAGGCTGACGCTTTATCCACTGAGTCAAATCGGTTAGGGCAAACTGTCATCTTAGTATCACAGCAGTCCTCGGGTAGTCAGGCATCGTACATAGCGTCTCCAAGTTCCAAGTGTGAGTGCTCCTTCGAGCAAGAGGGAAGCCACATTGCCTTTAGGCTCTATAGTCACACAGCATCACTCTGCCCCACTCCACTCATGGCAGCAGGCCCCGCCCCCCCGCCCCCCTCAGGTTCAAGGGGGTGGGACCGTGAACCCACCTTCCAGTGGCAGAAGTGCCAAACCATTTAGGGACCATGCTGTAAAACCACCCCAGCTCTACTAGTTAGTACCCTGGTTGCAAGTCACAGGAGTCTCAGGTCAGATGGGCTGATGTAATAAGGATATGAGTTTTCGGGCATGACCAGGAATACTGAGGCAGAGATGTTCCAGGTTAGTTTAGTCACTCGATTTCTCAGTCTTTCCATTCCATGCTCAGCATATCAGCAACATTTGCTCCCATGGTCACACATAGCTGCCGCAGTTCTGGTGTCACTAGGCATTGGGTCTCACATTCACGGAAGAAGACAGACATTGACTTGGGTCAATGAATTTTTCTTAAGAAGGCAAACCTTTCCTTCATGCCCCCAGAAATCTCTTCATGCCTCAGTGACCACCACTGGACCACATAATTTCTCCCTTGGCAAAATCTAGGGGGAAACCTGCCTGGTATTTTTGTTTTTCTAAAGTGAAAAGTGAGCTCTGCAGAAAGGAAACGGCATGTGAATATTTGATGGTAGGACAGGCCTTTCCTACTTCTTCTCATGGTCCACGTATAAAAGGCGATTACATTTATACGGCACAGTGGAGGAAACTAGAGTGGGCTTCGAGGGTCTTTTTATGGGGTTTGCTCTAAAAATGTTGTCCGTATGCAATCATAAGAAAAAAATAAATAGAAAGATGTCAAAAATTACATTTGTAACAAATTCAAATAAAACCTTTTTATTTTAAAACCGAATATACTGCTATGATATCACCACTTCAAAATAATCCCCAAATAAGTTTCTAGGACCTTTTCTATTCATCCACATACTTTACTTTTACAAAAATGCAGTTACTGTTTCTCTTCTGATTGTAATCAGCTTTTTAGAAAAGCTACTGTGACATCTTCGCCATCACAATAGATTCAGAGTACAATATCACTCCTAAAAGATGACAGGAGCACCAATATATAATTATACCTTAATATAATCAATCAAATAAACATTGATGTTAATTCAGGTTTGTTTTTTCTTTTAGAATATATTTTAATAGACATCCTTGAATATTTCACATAAGTAGAATTTCTTAAAAGCTGCCAATTTATACACACAACAGCAATGCTTACATTCATCCATTTGACAAGGGAGAATCAAGTTTTATGCCAGGCCCTATTCTGAATACTTTGAATTCAGCAGTTTAAAAGAAAAAAGAAAAAAAAAGAAAGAAAAAAACTCTTTCTCCTGCTACTTATACAGTAGTATGTGAAAGGGTCCATTTCTCTGAACTCATAATATGATGGGGGCCTTTCAAATTATGGATACTTCGATAGGAGGGATTATTTTATTGTTGTATTGCTAACATAGATTTTTTTTATACTTGCTTACTGGTTATTTGTATTTCATGATCACAGTTTCTTTCTTTGATTGTGTATGCTAACCAGCACCTGTGCCACTAACATAAGGCAATACTTTTCACAGGTGAAAAGAGTTATTTAAAAATCATATAGCTAGTTGTGAATATTTGTTATGGTGATGCAGACCTTTTAACGTAGAAATTGACCTACAATTTTCCTTTTAAAAAATTCATCAAATTGGATGCTTTAAAAGATAGAAAGATTGGATATGAACCATCTGACTGAAAAAGAACCATTCTAATTCTTGATATTTTTCAATTGTGTGTGTGTGTGTGTGTGTGTACTTACAAAGTTAGCATTTTGAAGCTAGACATCATCTAGTTAGGAATACCAATGAATCTCTTATAAAAACTGTCACCTACAGAAAAAAAAATTAAAGTCACAACTGCATCTTCATGGTAGTGATAATTTCTCATTCCCACCTCTCCTACATAGAATGGCGCTGGGATAAAATCATGCCTTAGAAAACTGTCTTCACAGAGTGTGTCCACTTGAGAAATGCCGTCTAGGAATGTGCAGTATTTAGACGAACTCATTTTGCAGATGGCGGTGGCAACGCTTCCTTCTCCCAGCCAGGTGCCTCTTGTTAGTCACCAATCAGCAATGGAGACCTGACAGGCAGCTCTGAGTGTCGGTTTGCACAGGGCAGTAATGTCTCCTCCAGTTCTCTCTCCCAGATCTTTAGCTTCACCTTTCACCCTACATGTGCTGTAGCAGGTTTGGGAGGACTAGCAAGAGACTGTTGTGATTTAGACACCTCCTGTCTTCTCTGGCCAGTTCTTTAGATGAGCTCATTTAAAGAGACCAGCGATGCATTGGAGGGCATGCTGGCAGTGCTCAAAATCGCTGCTTGCCTTCATGTCCTAATGCTAGTTCACTTTCCCGGTGAGCTTACCGGATGTCAGAAAAGAGACAAGCCTTTAAATCTCACCAGAGTCCTCACCAAAGGTGGGCTACTAACATTGCCCTGTTGCACAGAATGGGATGAACTTCTACGGAGGTCACAAAATTTGCCTTGGACAGTCTCGTTAATAAATAACAGAGCCAGAACCGGTTTGGCTCAGTGGATAGAGCATCTGCCTGTGGACTGAAAGGTTTCAGGTTTGATTCCGGTCAAGGGCATGTACCTTGGTTGTGGGCACATCCCCAGTAGGGAGTGTACAAGAGGCAGTTGATCAATGATTCTCTCTCATCGATGTTTCTAACTCTCTATTCCTCTCTCTTCCTCTCTGTAAAAAATCAATAAAAATATATTTTAAATAAATAAATAAATAAATAAATAAATAAATAAATAAATAACATGACCTAGAATTCTGAAACATGACTTTGCTTCTGAGTTTGGTGGACTGCATCTTATCTCCCATCCAAGTACTAACCAGGCCCGACCCTGCTTAGCTTCCGAGATCAGACGAGATCGGGCGCGTTCAGGGTGGTATGGCCGTAGACGGTGGACTGCATCTTCAAAGGATTGCAAAACTAGATGACTTTTCTCTCAGTTATATGCAGCTGCTTTGATTTTTTTTTTAGCCACTATATTTCTCTCTGAAGCCCACTGTACAGACACCAGTGATCTGACTGGCTGCCTAGAGATACCTAGGAGGGACTGTAGCTTGATGCTAACACAAAAAGAACTTGTAGGAAAAACCTCTGGGGGCAATCTAGTTTAAAAGCTAGATCTCAAAGGCTCGTTATTGGTATTATTAGCTGAATTGTGTTCCCGCTCAACCAAATGCATACGTTGAAGTTCTAACTCCTAGTGCCTCTGAAGGTGACTGTATCTGGAGAGACGGCCTTTATAAAGATAATTAAGGCAAAATAAGGTCATATGAGTTAGTTGACATCCAATATGACTGGTGTCCTTATTAAAAAAAAAAAAAAAAAAAAAAAAAAAAAAAAAAGATTAGGTTTAGGCACACACAGAAGAAACCATGTGAAGACCGAGGAAGAACGTGGCCTTCTATACACCAAGAAAAGGGGTCCTCAAAGGCACCCAACCACGCAAATACCTTGATCTTAGATTCTTTGCCTGCAGCAAAGACATAGGAGGCCGATTCTGGCTGGAGTCAGCAGTAAAGGTGGCAGACTCCCCCTGGAGCAAAGGCCTGGGTCCTGGGTGACAGAGGAAAACCGGTGCTGGAACTAAAGGAAGGAAAGCCTATTGCATGAATCTCTTTGCGCAATAGGCCTCTAGTGTATGCAATAAAAAGTGATTGGAAAATCTCTGGTGAAGCATTAAACTTCTTTGTGCCTATTTGAATCAATAAAACTTGTTAAGTTGATTAGATGAGACAGAGAATGTGAACACAAAGCAAGAAGCCTTAAACATATTAGCGTGTCAGTAGATTGTCATCCTAGGAATATGGGGAAAAAAATAAACATGTTTTGGGGAAATATAATAAATGTCATTTCTAACAGTTTGAAGGGCTATCATTCAAACACATAGATGTGTGGGTTTATGCATATTCAACAAATTATTTTATATTATATCCTATACCATGTACACCTCATATTTGAAAGCAATTTTTGTTTAATTTACAGATTCTTTTCATTGGTGATTCAACCAACAGAGGGATGATGTACTATCTGATTGAAAGACTGAATGAAACTTTGCAGGAATGGCAGAAGGTGCATGGCACTAAGTTCTACCACAATGTCAATGGTGGGAAGACTTTGATCAGTTATTCCTACTATCCTCAGTTCTGGATAAGCCCTTCATTGAGACCAACGTTTGAAAAGGCCCTTGAGCGTCTTTTGCAAAGGTACAATGGAACTATTGAGAAGGGCACAGTGCTACAACGCACTTGCTTTTTCGCTAGTGGTCATAATTGCCCACCCTATATCAAAGGTGCTGAAAAGCGTAAAGCAAGTAATGTGGCTGAAAATGAGTTGGAAATGCCAAAGAGGTCCTGTGATCAGGATGTCAGATATGGTTCAATGAAATGTGATGCAATGCTGTTAAAATATTTACCATCTGTTTCAAGGCAACATGTGTTGTTTTTCTTTCTGGATTTCAGATCACGTCCTCTGGAGAATTCGGGCCAGACTGTATTGGTGGTTGGTGGTGTTCAGTGGCTTAATTCCAATCATCTGCAAATTATTCACAAGGTTCTGAAGAGGTACGTTTCTGTAACAATAATTGTCATTAGGATTCTAAGATTTGATGGAATTTTATCAAGATTTTATTTAAAGGCCAACTTGTTCAGAATTAAGTAAGCACTTAAAGTCTTGTTTAAAATATTTCAAAATACCTTTGTATCCAATCACAAGACTACTCTTCAGTATCCAAAATTACATTAACTACAGATCAAAACATGCCCACTGACATGTCAAACTCTATCCACACAAAAAATGAACATACATCAAATCTATAAAATGAGAAATTAGTCCTATCTGCCAATTGCCACTCCTAAAGAGCTTTCATGTATTTGCTTATGTAAACATGATCATCTAGAAATACAATTTATGTCCTTGACTTTAGAATTCTAATTATTTCACAGGGAAAATTTACTCAATATCCTTGTGATCATCAAAACGTTGGGAATCGGATTTCATCTGCCAGTGGATGGAGTGCATTTCTTAACACAAGTAAGGCCGTTTTGCCCAGGCTGTGTGAACGTCATGCTTCCTATATTTGTTGATGTTTGGAAGAGACTGGAAGGCACCACATAATATCCAGCAACCTGTACAAAAATTAAGGGAGATAATACACTTATGGGTTATGATTTTAAATCAGTTTGAATTATTCCTGGAGATAAGGAGCCCATAGCCAATGTGTGCTGTACATACTTTGAATTCATAAATAAAAAAAAGAAGAAGAAAAAAAGAAAAAAAGAGGGGGGGGGGTGGCCAAACTATGAAAAAGTAAGAACTAAGGGTAGATGAGAGAGATTGTGCTTTAGATAGCGCCTTACCCTACAAATGTTTCATACACCATTGTGGCTCATGATGAAACCGCATATGAAATTGTCAGCATCAATGAATACTTTGGGAAAGAGTGGCTTTTTTGAAGAGGATGTCTGACTGATTGCTTTTAAGAATCATCTTGGAAGTTTTATCATTAGCAGTATAAACTCTGGCTAGAGAGTGATAAATGTAAGGAGTTAGAGGCCTCTGATCAGGTCTTATAGAATTTAGTAAACTAGTCTCAACACTGAATTGAAGTCTCAGAAAAGAACAGAAAGACATCTGTAGGTAAAGGAGCCAGCTGTTCTTGTTCAAGCCAGGAGAATTCTTGGCAGTGGGGTTTGTGTGTGATTGCTCCAGGGAGGTCAGGAGCACAGGGAGTTGGGGAGACAGTATGCTGTCCATTAAATACATAAGCCGAGTGAGATTTACTTTTGTGTCAATGGTGAGCACTCTTAGCTTTCCCCAGCATATATTACACACACACACCCCGCCCCCACCTCTTCCTTGAAACTATACCTGCATAGATGCCGGTTCTGTGATACAAAAGCAGAAGAACTGGTAGAAAGTGGTCCAAGTAGAGCCTCCAAATCATCTCCTTGGAGTTAGGATGGGCTAAAGGGTTGAGATATTTAGTATCTGGGGTAGCTGAAGAGTTTTAGACCATTGAGGACTAGAAGAGGGATCCTTTGCCAAAGCCAGTTTGGCTCAGTGGTAGAGCGTCGGTCTGCGGACTGAAGGGTGCCAGGTTCGATTCCAGTCAAGGGCATGTATGTTGGTTGTGGGCACATCCCCGGTAGGGGGTGTGCAAGAGGCAGCTGGTCAATGTTTCTCTCTCATTGATGTTTCTAGCTCTTTATCTCTCTCCCTTCCTCTCTGTAAAAAATCAATAAAAAATATATTTTAAAAAAAGAAGGGGGATCATTTGATACTTTTTGCAGTAGGTTATGAGTGGAATCTCCTTTACCATTATCTGAAAACTACAGGTCAATATTGCAACTGCTTATTGAGGACTCTGGTAGCTCCACTTTGCTTCTTTGACTGCAGCTCCTCACAGGAACTAGAGTTCTGTTGCTGCTGCTTATTAAGTTAGAATCAGTTCATCTTGGCAGATGGCAAACATTTCTTCAGCACTTCCTATGTACCAGATATCGTGTTAAACATTATGCCTCCCCCTCATCTTTGATGGTGTTCATCAGTCCTTTAAACTGAGTAAAGACAAAAGGATGGAACCGGAGGGTAGAGGAAACAATAGAAGGAAAGAGAAAATAGCAATGGAAGCAGAAAATAAGTCTGAACTCCTCATACTATGCTTGCATGGCTTTTCAGGACTGGGCCTCTGCTTTCCTCTGTAGAATTATCCCTTGGGCTCCCTAGATATGCACACACGTCTATACACACAGACACACAACACCACTGAGCTCGGTCATGCTGAGCATGTTGCATGTTTTAGCTTCACAAGCATGTCATGCTCTCAGTCACCTTCAGGTCTTTGAAATCACTACTCCCTTTTCTTAGAGCCACTCTTTCACTACCTCCTCCTGTGGGTAACCTCCAAGCACCCTTCAAGTGTTAGTTTACATGCCATTTCCTCTGGGGAGATGTAATGGGTACACGGGACTCACTGGTCTGTTCTTGCTATAATATCCTTTTGTGCCCTCATGTATGTCTCAGCCGATAATAGTCCTTGGTTGCCCGTCTGCCCTGCTAGAATAACCTCTGTGATTGGAGAGACCTGGAAGGTGGGGCTGCTTGCTCATTCTGGTACTCCTAGTGCAAAACACAATTGTCAACATGTAGTAGACTCTCAAAAATATCTATTCCCCAGTGAATGAGTGACACTTTGTATGATATGGCTGCTCCCAGATTGCCCCTTTAGGTCTGAAACATTCATTCCCTGGGGCTGCTGGTTATGTGGCCTAATAAGGACTTACACGTGAATCCTAGCAGGAATTGCCTTTTGCTGCAGAAATCCAACCACCATTCCTTATGTGGGCCATTATCTCATAAGATCCTTCCTCTAGAACAGCGTTTTTCAACCGCTGTTCCGCGGCACACTAGTGTGCCGCGAGATGTTGCCTGGTGTGCTGTAGGTGCAGACAAGACAAGAATTTTATAATTTTTCACTATTTTGTTTACTTAATATTTCATAATAATTATAAAATACTTTCTTTGTGTTTATTTGATTCCTATTCAAGAGAATTACTTTATATATAGTCAATATAGGCACAGAGTTAAATTTTTTAACATTTTCTAATGGTGGTGTGCCTCGTGATTTTTTTCATGAAACAAGTGTGCCTTTGCCCAAAAAAGGTTGAAAAACACTGCTCTAGAACCCCTAGTGGAATCCACAAAACCTCTGTTTCAACCACATCGCTCTTCTATAGTTGTTGATCCCCGTTAGTCTCCTGCATGCAAATTTCCATCTAATTGTGTATTTCCCAGAGAACAGACCTTTCTAGATAAAGGCTTGCTCTAGAGTTTCATGTATCCTTCATAATTAGACATATTAGACTTGAGAAAATGCTTGTACTAGACAAGAAAAAGCCCGAGGATCATTTTTCATGTGACAGCACAGACAAAATTCACATCTGTCTTCTTTCCTTCATATTTTATCTTTATGAACCTTTGCTATTCATGACCTTTATTTGGGGGGAAACACTCTTCTTTGAATGTCACATAAAAATAGTTATGTGAGCACAGTGGAGATAGAAAATTAGACTTATTTGTACTGCTTTTACTTTTCTGTTGGATTAACTAAAGCAAGCACTTTGCATGTTTACATGGAGAATGAAAATAATGTTCTTTAGAAAAGGCAGAGAGAGTGCAATTCCCTCTCTTTGTCAGAATGGGTTTGTCAAGAAACAGACACTAAGGTGGGGTGAGCAGAGAAGGGGGTTAGAGGGAGAGCACCTGGGAAGACTAAAGGGAAGAGGAGTAGGCAGGAAGACTCAGACAACAGCACCCAATGTGTATCACTCAATCTTGCACCAGATGTTTTGTAGTTACTATGTATTGGGACCTGTGTTTGGGTGCAATGAGTCTGACATGAAGGGTGTGGAAGAAAGAGGAAGAGACTCAGACGACAGGTCAGTCTGAGAAAATGTTGGCCAAGCCGATGAGGAATCCTGAGCTAGGGTAGAGGAGGAGTTTCTCCTCTTGACAGTAGACCTGAACTAGAACTCCAACCTTGGACATGGGAGGGAAGGAGGGAGGAAGAAGGAAAGGAGGGAAGAAGGGAAGAAGAAATATGACCCAGAAGCAGCAGCACTCAATTCTGCTGCTCCTAGAAGCACACTTCCTCCCCTCCTTTCCCACCCCCTACTGGCAGTCCTGTCTCCGCTTAGGAGTCACCTCTCCAAGCCTCTCTGTCGAGCTGTTCCCTTACACCTGGCAGAGCTATTCCCTTTGCCCTACTAGCCAGAGCCTGGTGGGTTTGCCTGCAATGAAAGACTTAGTAAATGTATGCATGTCTTTCTCCTATTAGAATGTAATGTCTTAAGATCAGGGCCCATGATTTATTTATTCTTGTATTCTTATCTGTTGGCACAGAGCTAAACACTAAACTATATTAATTAATATTCAAATGAATAAAAATCCAAATAGATGAGGATAACCTTTGTGATTTCAAATCTTGGCTTTCAAATGGAGAATTTTAAGATTTCAAAGGATCTTTATGGGCAAAACAAAACAAAAAAACCCTGAATGACTTTTTATGGTAGGGAAAGTTCTAAACTGTAAGTCACTGTACATATTAATGTATTGCTGTTTTATACATACACAGGTGTTTACACTTATATTTTGAATTAAAAAAATTAGAACACCTCTTTATTTAGGAACTATAGGTAAAATTAATTCTTTATCTCAAAATAAAACCAATCTATAGGAAAGATGCCCTTTACACAATTTCTATCGGATTTAGTACATCGTAAACAATGCTCTTAATAAAAATTCTCATTCTTCTGCTTTGCAATACAGAGGGAACTTCAGAACTTATGGAAAGAAAACGTGATTATTCTGGACACTGCAAAGAAGTATGGCTACGAAGTGGTTGACACCTTCACGATAACCATGGGCCGCTACAAAGAGTTTCTGCAGGGAGCCTGTGGGTGCCATTTTCATGAGGTATTTATTCTGGCTTTCTGGCTTTTTTAGGTTTTAATTTTTTATTGTGTTTTTAATACCACCGTCAGTCTTATTTTACATTAAAAAACTATGTCAGGAAAAGATGAAGTGATTTGTTCATCACTCAGCCGAAGCATGTAGTAATCACAACTCAAGGCTCTGCAAAATGAGGTGTTTTTTTTTAAATTTTGTGTTTGCATAGACACTTGGAAACTGAGATCTCAAGTCAATGCAAGAAGGAGATGGCAACTTGGAAAGCACCTGCCTAACAGATGCTGAGCCTTCCCTGAGGAATGGTGTCCCACACTGTGGCAGATTCCTTTAATGGAGGCAGCTTGAGGATCCAGAGCAGTGGTTCTCAACCTTTCTAATGCCGCGACCTTTAGTTCCTCACGTTGGGGTGACCCTCAACCATAATTATTTTTATTGCTACTTCATAACTGTAATTTTGCTATTGTTATGAATCGTAATGTAAATATCTGTGTTTTCCGATGGTCCTAAGCTCTACAGCAGCGGTTCTCAACCTGGGGGTCCCAACCATAAAATTATTTTCGTTGCTACTTCATAACTGTAATTTTGCTACTGTTATGAATTTTAATGTAAATATCTGTGTTTTCCGATGGTCTTAGCGGTTGAGAACCACTGCTGTAGAGCCTAAGACCATCAGAAAACACAGATATTTACATTACGATTCATAACAGTAGAAAAATTACAGTTATAAAGTAGAAACAAAAATAATTTTTTGGTTGCCGAAACCGGTTTGGCTCAGTGGATAGAACATCAGCCTGCGGACTGAAAGGTCCCAGGTTCGATTCCGGTCAAGGGTATGCACCTTGGTTGCAGGCACATCCCCAGTAGGGGGTGTACAAGAGACAGCTGATCGATGATTCTCTCTCATCAATGTTTCTAACTCTCTATCCCTCTCTCTTCCTCTCTGTAAAAAAAATCAATAAAATATATATTTTTTTAAATAATAATTTTATGCTTGGGGGTCACCACAACATGAGGAATTGTATTAAAGGGTCAGAGCATTAGAAAAGTTGAAAACCACTGATCCAGAGTATTTAATATGATAACTAATTAATTATCTTCCTCCTTTGGAGTAGTCAATGCACAACAGGAGGGCCTATCTTTTGACTAATTTTCCCCCCTAGTGGTGAAAATTATGTTCTTTGTAATAAGTAATTAAATAGTCTTAGCTGATAAGATGATAATAGAAAATAATTTTATCTTTTTTCCCTTGTCCTTTCAAATCCCCCTATGTATTATTACCTCCCTACCTCTTGAATAAAATATTGGTAAATCCTATAATTTGAAAACCACTTTCAGATAACCAAAGGACTCCCATCATTTTCAAGCACAGAAGAATATCACTTCAATACCAAAATTGCCCAGGCCTGTGTTTATGCCCACGTAAATCTCTTCCCCAGCTTCATCTTGAGAGCCTGAAATAGGAGAGAGGGAGTCAGGGACTTCTTTCCTATTTCCCTCCTCTTCTTCTCCCACCCCTCTTCCTTGGGTCAGGTTAGGGAGGACATATGAAGGGCAACAAAAATCTTACTTGACTAGCATAAGCATAATCATCAGTGTGCTCTCTGGGGATAGAATGCTAATTCTGTTTTAGGGTGCTTTTGTGCACTCCTTGAAGACAGATCTCACTGGGCCCCCCAGAGATAACTTTCTGGGTAAAGGCCAATCCCACTTACCGCTGCTTTCCTTCCTTGGCCCTTTGACTTCCAATTGCCCATCCTCCTGTTGGGAGTGGGGGGTGGGGGGGGCCCATTGTCCCTCTAGGCATCCTCTTGGAAGATATTCAGAATGGCACTGGGCTTGCTATATTCAGATTTGGACCATAACAAACACCCATGAATCCGTAGCTCCAGGTCAGACCTCTCTGTTTCTTGCTCTTTCCTATTCTCGCTTTCCTCTCTCACTTTCTCTGCTACAGGGAAGCTGAACGTTAGCCAGTGTCTTATCCCAGTCCTAATTAATGCAACCCAATCCCCAACATGTCCATCTCTCCAAGTTGGTCTCTTGAAACCCCATCTCACTTTAGCTTAGAGCAAGGCTGGAGATGCTCCCCAGATGGACGAAGACCACAAAGTATTTGGAAAACTTCTCACATAGATTTTCTCGCTCTTCATCTTCATTTCCCAGTTCTTTTCATGAAACAAGGGTTTGTGAAACCAGATGCTCACACTTTTGCATGTTTTGCATATATTGTCCAGACGTTGCTTTGGAATGTGCAGTTATGTGGCTACTGTTGTTTGCTCTAGGTCTCAGGAGCATCCGCTGGAACCGTGAAGGAGTTTCTCATTTGACCATCCTGTCAGATATTGATTCACTCATGGGTTATTGTTTTTTCTTGCATGGCCTCCTTTGTAAACCAGAATGCAGTCATTAGTGAGTTGGCTAGTGAGATGACAATTAAAGGTTTCTTCTGATCCTATTTTTCAGCCATAAGATGACTGTCAGAAACTATCCTGGTCCTCTGGTTTAATGAATACCCAAACATTATTGACATAGATTGTATTCTCTACGAATGGGTTCATATTATATTTTCATATGACAAATGGAACTGCATCTCAGAGAAGTGAGCTCCCGTACCCACAATAGAAATCATTTTGAGTTTTTAATCTAGCAACATGCAGCATGGCCATGTGGATGTAGACAGATTTTAAACTATAAGACACTGTGTGTCTACTCATTTCTCCCATAAGAAAATATGACACTCTTTGGGTGCCTGTCCTAATTTGCAAAATGTCAAGACTTAGAAATACAAGTGCAGGCAGCCTGAAAGAAGAAAAAACAATGAATTTGTATTGGAGACAACCTGGTATCAGAGTTGGTGACAAAAACAAGCCAAAAGTTGCCAACTTGCAGAAAATGGAGACTTTGAAAGATGATACACAGATCATTGTTTCTGGTTGTTATTTGTTTGGGTTTTTTGTTTGTTTGTTTGTTTTTGTCTCTTTTGGGAGAGATTCATTTATTTTTATATAATACGCCTTCAATTAGTAATTGGGGTGAGGATACCTGTTTTTCCTTTATCAGCCGTAGTGCTTCTAAAAAGAAGTCCTCCAATGATTTCCAGCATGGTTCTAATTAAAAATAGAAGATGCCCTTCCCACATGATTGCATTACATGTATCTCCTGCTATGGCACAAGTAGTTGACACTAATAGTCATGGAATTCGAGGAGTACAAAAAAAAAAAAAAAAAAGACTCTGAACCATCTAAGCTAGAAATCAGCTTATAATCATTACTAAAACACCATTATTAATTGCATAACAATGACTTAAGCATGCCAGGTAAAATTATTTTACTTATCTGATTTTATTTAACTTATCTGGTTTTGGGGTTCAGATATTATGTACAATTTTTTTTTTCTTAAACCCTATTTTTCATGTATACTGTCTTCGAGGCAGGCTATGTAGGTATGCCCCAAATCATCTCAGTTGATTCTGGAGCATGTTATCCATTCTGAAGTTTCCATGTTCGAGAAGAAATACTTCTAAGAGCATTTGCCTTTCTAGTTACCACACAGACCTGATATGATCGTCTTTCTCAAATGACTCCCTTCATCACAAAGTCTCAAAGCTCATTCATCACTTAGGCATACTTGTTGCTTAACTTTTGAACAATTTGTACCACTTGTACTTCAGGAAGTTGCTAGTGCTGACACAGATGTTTTATGCTCTTTCTAAACCATCACCCAAGATCTTAAATCACTGTTAGCTTATTACAAACAATCAATAAAATTCTAAAACTTCTTGCAAAGAATGGTGTGATGACAAGTGTAGCAAGCCAGAAAACAGTAGGTTATTGGTCTCAGGCAAAATGTGTTAAAGGGTAGAAATTTCTTAATAACAACCTTTTTTTTTTCTTTGTGCTCATCTAATGAGCTGGCAAAGAAAGTTGTCATATAGTAATCAAAAGATTTAAAATCAGCTGTAAGAAACCAAAAAAAAATTCAGTTGGAGAGCCTTGTATCTGCTGGTGTTTAATTAAACCATTCTCACAATCAATTCAGACACCTGAGGATTGGTATAACCTTCATATAGCAAGATGTGAATGTGACCTCTTTGATTTGTGGTGAGAATTCGAGCACAGACATAACAAGCCTGCTCCAGTGGTCTCTTGTTGCTATGGTTGAGATTAAAGGGTTTGGGAATCTCTTTCATCTGTCAAGGCACCAAAAGAGAATATGTTGCCACCACACATCTATAACATTTCCCAACTGGTGTGCATCAGTTTTGACTAACATGATTCTGCAAATGAAAAAAACAGGTATATCTCTTTATGGGTAGAGATGGAGTTTTGTTTGCTCAATGTTTATACAGGACAACAAACTGGATCCAGGTAGAGCTTGCCCAAGAGTGGTTTTGGATGGTGCTTTAGTTATGTTGAAAATATCTACTGTCAACAAGACAAAACCTGGAAAGGTTACAAAACTATTATCAGCCCAAATTTAGCTGCAGAAGGGGAAAATCCACAACTAATTATTATGTGACTAGAAGCCCAGTGCACAAATTTGCGCACCAGTGGGGTTCCTCAGCCTGGCCTGCAGGATCTGGCTGAAACCAGCTCTCCAACATTTCCCAAGGGGTCCGAATTATGAGAGGGCACAGGCCAGGCCAAGGGACCCTACTGGTGCACGATCAGGGCCAGGGACACAGGAGATTGGCCAGCTGGAGAGGGACTGCAGGAGGGCTCCAGGGTATGTCTGGCATGTCTTGCTCAGTCCTGATTGGCCAGACACCAGCAACAAGCTAACCTACTGGTCAAAGTGTCTGCCCCTTGGTGGTCAGTGCACATCATAGCAAGCGGTTGAGTGGCCTTAGCATATCATTAGCATATAATATTACACTTTGACTGATTGAATGGCCAACCAGTCAACCAGACAATTAGCATATTAGATTTTTATTATATAGGATTATTAATTAATCTAATCCAGCAATTTCCCCAAACTTTTTCATCTTGTGGCACATGTAAATTAAT